AATTTTTCTATATAGAGCCACTCTGCCTGAAGATTGTTCCAGAAAGTTTTGTTCCTCTAACATTGTTTTCTTTTTACGCGTAGTTATATCTAGTCTAGGTTTTGTACATTCAAATTTCCATGTTGTCAAATGATAGTTTCATGTCAACTAGAAAATAGCCATTGGAATTACTTGTTGATAATTGTTAGCTTTATTACTTTAGTCTTCGTTGAATGTATGATGGCTTCAAACAACCGACAGAATTCCAAAATGACAGATGATGGTGCGAATGTCACATCAACGCCGTCACATGACACTCGTCAAGCGTCATCATCGATTCACGTGAATAATTTATCATATGATGCTACGGAGGAACAATTATATTCTTCATTTTGCGTCTGCGGTGATATTAAATCTGTTCGTATTATTACCGATCGGTTAACGGGCAATAGCAGAGGCTTTGCTTTTGTTGAATTTAAAAATACCACGGCAGTTTCTGATGCAATAAAATTAGATGGTATGAGAATTAATGGACGCCCAGTAAAAATTACTGTTGCACAACCAAGAAACTCTATCAACGACAACAGAGTAGTACAAAACAGAGAGGAGTATCAGAGAAATACCCCATCACGTACACGTGTTGTTCACTGCAAGAAATCACAGTATGATGTTTACATCGGTCGTCCTGAGTACTGGGGGAATCCATTTGTGATTGGAAAAGACGGTGATCGATCAGATGTGATACGAAAATATCGTGCGTGGATAATGAAAAAACCGGAAATGCTCGAACGTGCTAAAACAGAATTACGAGGGAAAGTACTTGCTTGTTGGTGCAAACCAGAAGCGTGTCATGGTGATGTGCTAGCCGAAATAGCAGATAATGATTAAAATTATAGAAAGTAGACCGGTTATTATAAAATTGCACATTATAATGATCACCTTTAGTAACTGGTTGTTTTGTATATAGGAGACAATTGCATAACTATTGTGCCGTTCTTGTTGGAAGAATGTTTTTACTCATAGAAAACCATTCAGTGGAAAAATGTTAGTAATTTTTTAAAATTTTGTTGGTTAACAAATGGTTATACAATTCTTAAAAAATGAGCAATCTCCTATTCTTTATGCTTAGATATGGATGAAGTACGATTAAAATGGAGTACTTTTAGTGGTAAAAATTTTTTTCTCGCCTAAATATTTGAACGGATTTTGATAATTTTTATGAAGCAATTCGTAGCTCGAAATTTGGGCTTTCAGAATATGTATTTTGAATGTAAATAAAATTAAGTGTTGTCTATATTTTCATCAAAACACGGGCTACAACAGACACTTTGTAAATTTTGTTTCGCGAGATTTTAACTCATTTTCTCACAAAAAATTTTTTTCAACATTTTCATTGAAATAATAAACGATCTGAACTTCCATTGAAACGTCTTTTTTTACAAAATATCGGGCGAGACTAAGAAATTTATTTCACTTTACAAGGTCGATGATTCAGGAGACAAGTTCCTGAAAGATCCGACCTAGGAACATGCCACAATCCGACTGAAACCATGCCGAATTATGTCGGAATCCTGTCATTCGGAATCCATGCCAAAAAAGATTCGGTTGTCGGATCCTTCCAGTTCCCAACATCAGATTTCGCTGCATTTGGCAGAATATGGTCAGATTTCAGGTGTTTTAAGGCTAAAAATAGGTTTAAATTTTTTATTCCCTGTTCTTTTTCGCGCATTTTGTAGTGGATCCTCTGTCTGCTCATTCGAGAGAGTGGAAGACCCTGCTAACTAAGACGTGTACAACACGTTCATTGAATGGTGTGAATGATGACTCATACCGTTAAGAATTTGAGAAGAAAAATTTCTTGTTTTTCATTTTCTACAGTGCTGTATTTAAAGTACGGCGAAGGGAAGTAAATGGTCAAAAGACAGCTCGTCAGTTTCTATCGAAAACTCCATTTTATATCGAAAATGTTCGGCGAGATTTCTCTTCTCCAAAGTATGGATAAATCTGCATGAACTTATTTTGCATGAATGGATCCTTTGAGAATCACGTTATTAATCTACAAAATTACTTTAATCAAGGAGATTTACTTTTTTAACGACCTCGAAGGTACAAAAGATCTCGAGTCCCTTAATAGAGTAAAAAACTAAGATTTATCCCGGGTCTAATTTATACTAATAATTATAAGGGTGGGAATCACGAAGAATGCTGTTCGAATGATATTTAAGAAGAATGTTTCCAGCTTACCACTATAGTTTTTAGGATCAAAATATATCGAGGACTGAGAAAATGTTTATCATTTTTTCCACTGAGATTTTTGTTTTCGACAGCCATATACCAAAGTGTAGGAAAAATATTATTTTCATAAACAATCGACATAGTCCAATCAAATGTGCAACTCAGATCCTTTTTATCTGCTAGTTGTTTTTTTTGTAATGTTTTTTTACTCGACTATACAATTCATTCAGAGTCTTTACGCACTTTGAATAATAATGATATGATTCTATTATCATGAGTTGTATGAGCAATGACTAAACGGGCATTCATATCTGATATTTAGAAAAACGAGCTATGATCAATGACACATCTGAAGGTGAAAAGTGATTTCTATTCAAACATATAGAATACCCTCCTCAAACCGCACACTAATATTTTATTGAGCTTCTTTCCTTAACATTATTCTGTATAAATACTCATCATATCGTATTAGGAAAAGAATTGGTGATTTAGTGTTGGATTTATTAGTAAGAATAACGAACACATCATGACATGATGTGAGAAAAAGAAATATCTGTTACCAGATGTTTTCTTCTAACAGTTTAGTCTATTTTTTTAGCTGAATTTATACATAGACAGCGAGAGATAACTCTCCACTCTAACCATGATGGATATTTTTTTATCTTTCTTCTGCCTTCTATCCGCTTGATGGAAGATAATGTTCATGAGCATTATAACGGGCACAACAAAGAAGAAGGAAAAAAGGCGTAAAAATGTGATTTTTTTCTCATGAAGTTTATATCTCTTAGTGGGTCTTATTACATTTTTTACGTATTTTTCACATGATACATGTAAATAGTGAAATAAAATGTCACAAAATAAAAAACTAATGGAATTTAAAAAATTGAGTCATGTAAGTAAAAAAAAGCATGTGTCGTACATTGATGATCTTATCTTTCACATTCGTAACAGAAGATATTAATTAAAGAAAAAGTTTATTATTTTATCTGTATTCGTGTTTTTTAAGGGTAAACAAAAATTTCTTTCTATACATTATTTGAAACAAACTAATATAAAAATGCATAACATAAATAAATTGCTTAATATATAAAAATTGCGTTATGCAAAGCATAACAAAGTACGTTTCATCCAATAACCTTTTCGTAAATAAATGATAATTGAGAATTGAAACCGCTCAAGCACCGAAAAAACATCGAACATCCCCCAATGCATCTAGATACGTCAATTTCCTGATCGATGCAGTTAGATGCAGATACATGTTTCTCACGGTGCAACTAAATAACATTGCCATACATTGCCATTTGCATTGAGTGGCATTGGGTTAAACGCGATGAATCTACATAAGTCAATTTTCTTACTTTTAGTTTTTTTATCCAGATGTTTTTGTTGGCGCATTGGACAATGCTCCAGCAAGAATATCTAGATTTTTCTGCTGAGTCAGTTTTGCTTGGGTGATACCTCTAAGTCGTACTGTTCTAGTTATGCAGCTGGAAAGACAAAAAGTTCTACCGCCATGCATGAGTTGTTTCCACATGGTTTAATGAAAAAGTATTTCATACGAAAGTACTAAAAAATGTATTATATTTTGTGCGGAATAGTTTTCCGACCTTGTGTGTAAAAAGCTGGTATCATGGTGGTAAGTGCACGGTATATTTGATTCCATACCTTTATATAACATGTGTGAACAAGTTGGTGATGAACAAGAAACTGGGGCAACTCATTCATACGAGAACAGTTACTGTGTATGATTTAGAAAGAATCATCAACTTTGCGTGATAAAATGCTAATTTTTGAAGAAAAAAGCAAACGAAGGAACTTTCAAGTGTCTGCTCGCTTTTCTCTTGAAACCAACTTGATTATAGGTTATTTTTGATGCTGATCACGAATGTGTTTGTTCATTTCACTCAATAAAGCTTTTCTAGGTGAATCTTAAAGAAAATAATAATTGGAGGTTCACTTTAAGTTCCATGTTGAACAAGTTTTGATCTGTCTAGTTCATACAGCTCGTCGAGTGACGCGTAAAAAAAAATTATTAAAACTATTGAATAAATTGTTGATGATCCACAGAAATTTTATTATTTTATCTCCTGCAGAAGTATAACTCCAAGTGTATTTTCATCGAAAATCAGTTGAATAGGTGTGATAAGTTCTTTCTACACGTCACTCGACGAGCTGTATAAACTAGACGGATCAAAACTTGTTCAACCTGAAACTTAAAGTGAATCTCCAGTTATTATTTTCTCTAAAATTCACCTAAAAAAGCTTTATTGGCTGAAATGAACAATATATTCGTGATCAGCATCAAAAATAAGGTCATGTGCGCTTCCAGAAAAAGTGAGCGCACACTCGAGAAAATACCTTTGTTAACCTTAGTCTTGCATTGATAAGTAAAAAAAAGTATTATTTTTGAAAAACTTTTAAGAAACTAGAGACTTTTATTGAAATACTAGCAAAAAAAATCTAAAATTTTCGGTTCCAAACTCAAAAATGCGAAAAGTTTCCAAAAATATATGCCCCATTTGATCAAGTTTCGCTAGTAACAAGCTAGAAGAAATAGCTGCACATCTCTCAACATGAACTACAAAATTGGAAACACTTGCGAAAAGGAGTACTTTTTATATTTTGTGAAATTATGTTCTATGGTAAATAACGTTTTCTCTTTTATCCTTCGTTTTGAAACAACAAGCCGTTATCAAACTTTTTGGAGTTGGCGTGTCTAGTTTGCCAATACAGGTAAATGGTTTCAAAACATGTGTAATTATAAACGATAATAATCTGATTGACTATAATTTATTCATATCTTTATTCAAAAAAATAAAAACATAGACATAGTTATGTAGTTATACTCTATAACATAAAAAGTGCGTAAAAATGATGAATATCTAGTTTTATTACATTAAGTGTTCCTAACTACCTGTTATCAATCGTTGTATCAAATGATAATTTTTATTTTATTCAAATACCATCGAGTATTTGAATGTGTTAATTATCGATAATTCGCTATGGTAGCTAATTTATACTTAAAAAATAAAGCGAATCAAATTTCTATATCAATACTGTTTTTTTGTTTTGACAAGCATAATAATTAGCCACACATATTACTTTTTTATTAGACAAAAAAATCTTTGTTTTCTTATTTCAATTTTTTGTCGAAAAAAATATTAACATCTGTCATTAGTTTTTTTCTTCTTCTAAATTCCTTCTAAACGTGTACACAAAGTACAAAGGAAAGGTACAACATGTAACTAAACACAACAGCATTTTTAGTCTTACTCTTTAAATTTTCTTTTCTTCTTTTTTTAGTGTTATCAAATACTTGCACAAATTCATTGGTTTTTTTATCAGAAAAAAAAAAGAATACTAGAAAAGAAATGAAATCCCATTGTAAAATGTCACAGTATGACTGTTTTGTTTGTAGCATAGTAAAATTATGTACTATTTTAAAATTGTTTTTATTGGAAGAACAACAAAAAAGTAGCACAACTATTTGTCTGTACATATTATTATTATTATTATTATTATTATTATTGTTCTATCATTATCTTATCATTGTGCCGTTAGCACACATACATGCTGAAACCATAAAATTATAACAATAGAAAATAATTTGGTAATAAAAGCAATATTCATAAATCGATCAATTCGTTAAGCCTTTCTCCCTCTATCTCTATGTAGAGTTATCGTTCTTTCTTTTTTCCTCTCCTTCTTGTACATTCGAATACCTTTGATTTTTTTTGAAAAGAAAGAATAAACGTGTGCATCAAAACATACATAGTCTCCAGTAGAGGAAAAAAAGGGATTTAACAAGAAAATATGTGTACTGCATGGCATTAAAATGATTCATAAACAATAATAAATATATCATGCGTGGTACGATAATAGATAATTTAAATGGGAAGAAATAGTGAATAATTTAAAGAAAACGATTATTTTTATTTTTATTCTTACGTCCTGAATGTGATAATTGTACGCTCAAATGATAGAATATACCATTTTAATGATATTAAATGATCTTTTGATAAAATAAATAGAACAGTTATGAAAATTTAAACAAAGTTTGATTATTCAAGCACGCTGTTAGAAAATTGCATGTATATGAATGAATAGTTTACAGAGTATCTTTAGGTACATATTAATATAGGAAGTAAGTTTTCTTGAACTTTTTGATGTTATATATATATCAGTTTGTGTGTATAGAGAACTGAAATAATTGAATGAATGAACTCTACATCAGAGTAAAGTGGCAGTTTCAAAATTGAGTAATCATATCGGAAGATTTTTGACTTCATTAGGGATACTCGACCCGACAACAAGTAGATTATCCTTCCTTCATTCTATTATTCAAAAATTTCACATTGACTAGTAAAGCAATTACAGACAGAAAAGAAATTTTCTATATCGAAGAAAACTTTTCTAAAAGTTTTTTCAATCTTATTCAACATCCTTTTAATTATATTTTCAACGAATTTTTAATAATGCTGATGGTATATTTCTTTACATCCTTTTCTGCCCTTCATATCAGAATTATAAATTTCTTTTTTTCTGCATAGAGACAGTTGTTACGTGTTTAACAATCTAAAATCAATGTAGCATCATACTCAAAAACACACTCGGTTAAAATAGTGTGCACACGTATGAGATTTCCATCAAATTGTTTACTTTATTTGTATTAAAAAATCATATTGCGTAGAAACGATGTTCTTTTCAATAGAAATCTATTCAGTTGTAAAATTATTGCTGTTCTAAAAATAAATATCTTAGCATTAGTATTCCAAATATATTCAAGTTTTTCAGTTATTATCATTTTGTATGCCATGAAAAAGTTGATTACACATTTATATCTAAAAAAATAGACTATTTCACTAATGTTGTGATAGGCGACTGTCTAATGATCTCTTATCGGCTGTGTGCACGCATATGATGCCTAAGAAACACATGTCTCATTTTATCTTATAAATTAATTTCATTTTAGCCAAGTCAAGAAATATCTTCTGCTTCACAATCGATGGACACTAAATTTTTTCGTCAAGTTCCATATCGATTTATTGCCCAAGATCGAGCCGATGCATGTAAAATTGACAAATTGACAAATTTATTTCCTGAAATGAAATCAACAATTGAACTAGGTAAGGCTGGATACAGTAATCTTTTTCAGTATTTCGGGAAACTTGTTCTATTTTTATTCTTTTTTTCTTACAGAATTGTTTAAAATAAATAATTTATCACATACACTCGAACGTTTATCCCGTGTATATTCAATATCAACAGCACTCGATATTCGGGACGACACATTACATGTATTTGTTGGACCCTATCACATTCGTCTCGGTAAATTCGTAATTATTAGAATGACGAAAGTCTGTTAAATAACATTCTGCATTTCTTATCTTAAGGACCAGCGTTATTCGCAGCATTTCATTTTAAACAGGTATCACAGACACTCATGCAAACAGCATCGAAAAAAAAAGAAATAACAACAAATTCAACAACTCTAATCGGAGGAAGTGTACATACGCAACGTCGACAACGTGAAGCAGCAATTCGACGCTTTCGTCGTGCTGTTCGAAAGATTGGTTTAGTTAAACAAGTTCTTGATCTTTTACAAACGGCTAGTGTTTTAACACCGGTAAATCAGTATGCATTACATAGTCGTGGAATATATGAATTAGTTTTACGTCGACAATCAGTCTTAACAGACGGTTCATTTGAATTATTCGAACAGATGAAAAACTATCAAGCCTCAAATGAAGGAAGTCCGTTTTTATCATCAAATTTCGTCAAAATTACATCGCTTTTAAATCTACTCGGTTCGTCGACAACACAACAACAGCCAGAAGAAGGGACAGGAAATAGTATTAGCACTAAGGCAAACGAAACAATATTACCAGTAATGGAAAAAGATTTAAGTAAAAACCAGAAATTTAATCCAAATAGTATCGATTCGAAAGACTTGGTTGAAGATTTATCAGCATCACCAAATAACTGCTGTGTAAATCATTCTTCTGTAATAAATCAATCATTAGTTTCAGTACCATCTCCGGCGACACCACAGTTATCAACCACCGCCATTATTCCATTTCGTCGACGGAGTGTTAGTGCTACGTCAAAAACAACACAAATAATATTAACTGGACAAAACATGGTAAGAAAATTTTATGTTTCTGTAAATCAATATTTTCTTCTGGCTTCTTCTTCAATTAAAATTAAATACAAAAAATTGATGTAGTACTATTACATTAGTGGAATACCCAGCTCAGCTCAATAGTTTACTTTTTATTTAACTCATTTGTCTTGTACAATAAGGAGATTTAGTCAGATTAATCTAGAAACATGACTTACCATTTTTTGTCGCTTCTTAATTCATCTTCATAAATCAAAAAAGAACAAGTGAAGTAGTCAGTCTCTCAACAGACAATTATTTGAAAGAAAATAAACAAAAATTTGATTGTGTTTACAAAATTCTTCATAAACTGATACAAAAAACGAATCCTTGCTTATTTAACTCAATCAATTTTGAAATATAGTCGGTATATAATATAGAACTGCGTGCGTTTTCTATTAGATATAATATACTTAATTTCCGATAAGAGTACTTTTGAATGACAGATGTACAACGTTTTCTTTTATTAAATATGTACTTCTTGATATAGGCAAAAATCGATACGGATATAAACTTATTAAATTAATTGAGAGAAATATATAAAAAGGATGAAGATATGATTGGTAAATTTCTGAAGGACTGGATAGAAGTAAATAACCCGAGTCCTCTTTCTTATTGCATGTCGCGACGCGAGTCTCTTTAAAACTTCACGGCAGGATCGCGTAACGCGTTCGCTGTAAGACTCGCGAAATAAGACGCGTGTTTTAGCGATGGTGATTTTGTCGCACTCATACAAAAATCGATGACTCTCAAGTATTTTACTATAGCTGCTGTTTATTCGCGTTTTCCGTCTAATACCAGTAAATGAGCCGCACTACTTTCACCGCGAAAGGAGACGAACAGCGTACGCGCGACGTGACTACGCGAGACTATATTAGTCATGTCATAAGCTATTATTAAGATATGAAAGATTTTGAAAATTTTTCGAAGAATCCGTGAGAGTTATATACCAGGCGCATAAGCAAAACAAAACCGTGAACAGGATTTGCACGGGAGTAGCGTCTCGACTCTGCATCATATCGCGATTATAAGAGAAAAATATGATCGCGACGTGACACTTTTTTCTTACAGCGATCACGCTCGGATCGCGGATTACAAATTTTCGAAAAGTAAGAGTTCATCGCGGTTGTGCTGCGACAATAGCGATTTTTTAACTATCACTTTCACGACTTCAGGATCCGAGCGCGATCACTGTAAGAAAAAAGTGTCACGTCGCGATCGCGAATTACAATTTTTTTCAAAAATAAGAGTTGATTGGGATCACACCGTGACAACAGTGACTTTTCAAAAAGGGCATATATAAAATCCTCACGGATTTTCCAGATTATAGAAAATCGAATTTCCAATAATGTGAAAAATCGACATCACTTTACTACATAGATGGGAATTATTTATAGAAAATTCTCAGCGAATTTTCGCTTAGAAGAACCTCAAGGATTTTATATATCAATCAAAATCAAAAAGTCGAATTATTTTCTACTTTCTGGAAAATGACTGAGGATTTTCTAGATAATGAGGAAGAACAATCTGAGTGAGAATGCTGATAATCAAAGACTTGCAAAGTGAAAATGGCTGAAGATAAACGTTTTCACCATTATTAAAAAGCTATTGAATTTCGAAGTTGAGTGAGGTGTATTATTCCAGCTTATTGGATGAAAATATAGATCTTTTACTAATGAAAATCAAATTCGACATCGCTCACGTGTTAAACGACTGTTATTTTATTTAAAAAATAATAAAATAAATGTGAATTGTTAGGATCATGTCTTTGAGTTAATAGAACCAACTACATTTTTGAAAGATGCTAAATTCAGACATATAAATGAGAAATATTAGAAAGAGCGAATCGCTTTGCGATCTTCACAAAGTTACGGTGGAACTTGACTTTGTCTTAACCAGGCAACCCAAGCACCTGTTCAGTACCTCTTTGTAATCTCCAAGTGTCATATAACAAGAATACTTCTAGAAGAATATGCTGATTTTCAAAACTGAGAGAACTTTCGGAATCTACTAACATTACTAAAACGAGCAGAGATCTGTTACAGGACAACTTGTTGCAATGTAGGCTTTAATAGATGTGAAAGAAGCAAGAAAAAAATTACCGATTTATCTTCTTAGAAAATCGCTGTCGATTTTCCAACTATTCAGAAATTCCTTATCGATTTTCTCGCAAATGAGAAAAGTCAATTTACAGAAAATCGAAGTGATTTTCTATACAGTAGAAAATCAATATTTTCTATAGCGTCAGAAAATCGCTGAGGATTTTATAAAAGTTTCCAGATCGATTTTCTATAAAGTAGAAAATAATTCCAAATTACAGTACATCCCTTTCAAAATTACTTGTAAACAATAAAATTATTCCAGACAAAAATTAAACTATAAATAATCTATTGAAGATATTTTAATAATCTATTTTTATCTGGAAAGTATTGTGGGTTGTTTTCATAATTGACCCAAAATGTCGGATTCTATTAAACCATGAAAAGTCTCTAGATTTGTCGTTTTCTATAAATTTAAATCAGGAAATCCCCAGTGTGGGAAGGAACCAGATCTATCTCTTTGTTGTCTACCCATTCAAAAATATCCGAGAAAAATTTTCTTCAGAGAATTAAAGAATGGTCAGTAGCAATTCGATTCTTTCGCTTGCACAATCTGGCTTTCGGCCAAAGTGTCTGCTACCAACTAGAGTATTATCAAGATTTGTACTTATCAGTAGATTATTATCAAAGGATTGATAATAATTTAAGTGGAAATATGTCGTCGCTGGTCATAAATATTGATTACAAAAAAGCTTATGATAAAGTTATTCATTAAGTTTATTATTAAGTCGTTTAAGTCAGGAATGTCGTAAAATCATTTAAAGGCAGTCTAGGTAGTCTAGTTATGAGGCAGACAAGCCAGAGTTATTTTTGGGAGTTGCGGCTCAAACTTTTTTTGCGATTTGAATAGGTTTACCCTAAGACAGCTCGCTCTCACCTATTTTGCTCATTATTTTTCATTGTGATCTGGCTAATAAGTTGGGTGCACACTCAAACTGGATCTTTACAAACGATCTGCAAGTGACAGCAATTCGACCAAGGTTAAGGCAAATGTTAAGGTGACTAAAGGAGAAGGGACAGAGAGTATGCAAAAGAATTCTTCAGCATTCGATAGACTGTGAACAACCTATCAGTTATAGTAAAACAGTTTTTCAGATGTTTCATTCCCAAATTAAGAGACTCACTATTTTCTTGTCAATGACGGCCCGTAAATTAGAGCAGGTCATAACTTTTAAGTATCTAAGATTTAGTTCGTCAGATAAGTTGTCTCTAAAACACCGCATTCTCTCTCATCGAATGACTAAATAGAAAGTTTAGGGAAGATCTCACTTTAAACATAGATGTCCTTACGTCAATGCCGATGAACTTTCTGATCTATGTGACGAGGAGTAGTAGACTACTATGTTGTTAAATATTTAAAAAGAAGATTATTGCGCATCTTCGATTCTGATTTGTGCAACTCCCCTATCCCAGAAGATGTATTTTATTCGGACTATTATCATCCAACAAAAAGATTGAAAACAGGACGCTGTTTTTCTAGCAAGCGAAAGACTCATGAGTCCGCGCTGATATCATTGCTAGTCTTTGTCAACAATAGAGAAGAGAAGTAACAGAAAGAAATTATTTTCATTTTCGTTCATTTTTCCTCTGTATTGTGTAAAATTTAAATGCACATAACCATGTTTTCAACTCTTTTTGTAACAGTCCAAGAGCTTAACAATATATGAAAAGTCAAAAAAATGACGAATATCAACTGATTAAATTAGAATTTGTAATTGTAAAACTAACTGAGAAAAACATATAAAAACAATGAAGACACGATGGTAAAGAAGTTAGAGTGCGCATGATGTAGAGCACAAAATTGTCGAAAGCAATTTAAACCAAACCTTGACCAGATAAGATTAAAATTTGTGAATTACGTTGATAATTGTTCTTAGAATGACTACGTATTAATCGTAGCTGAAATGGAATCGCTTTTATGTAGTTTCGCTTGCATATGTACCTGTTATGAAATCTTATGGAGAAAATGCATTAGGAGGATGTTTACTTCCGTTCGAATGTTATATAATTTCCCTATATAATAGGCTACATTTTTCTATGAAATCTGAAGATGTATATGTGTCTTAAACTACACATAGTTCCTTTCTGGTTATTCATTTTTTATATTTCTCTGTATACATTTCATTGATAAGGAAAAAAATTCATTGTTGATCAGTTCCGGTGGTCAGTTTTTTTTCTTTATTCAAGACAATGTCTTGGGATTGAAATAAAAACTATATTTTTTTTCTCCACTATTCTAATAAATTTTTTCTTTACTAGGCAAATAGTACGGACAATGCGTATAGCGATACACTATCATCGACAGGTTTCACCGATAATACAAAAACAATTCTTCCAATAACTGAATATACCAGTATATTAGAACAACCACCAGAGGAACATTCTTCATCAATTCTTGATGATGAAGAAAGTCTAATTAATAGTATATCACATATACTTACAAATCATTTGATGTTAAAAAATAATTATGATACAACTAACGATTCATCTATTACAGATTCGGGTATATCTTTAAATACGAATAGTGGACGAGAATTGAAAAATAATTATGATTTTGATCGGTTAATACAACGTATTAAAATGAATGTTGGTCAAAAATTATTTGAAAATGATAACGAACAACAATTAAAACCGACAAATGATACGCTGACATCGTCATCAATACCAGTCATAATTGATCATACTCGTGAAAAATCGAATAGACGACAACAACTACTTGGATTACATGTTGTTTCGTGTGATGAAACACGCTCGGATGATTACTACAATATTACTGATCATACTACAGATCAAAATAATAAAACTACTAATACCAATAAAGAAAAATCATCAAAAAAACATCACAACTGGGCTTCAAAATCACATTCATTTGATATGACGAATTCAAGTAAGTTATTTTAAGCAATATTAACATATATTTTCACATACACACACATAAGCGAGTTGCTTTAAAATTGACAAGGCGTGCTTGCATCTAATATGCTATGATAATGATTTCAATTGGCTATATTCAGCATCTTGACAGGTATTTATTATTCATTACTTACAAAAAAAAGCTTCTCTTATCCAGTGCTGACTATATCTGAGATAACTGATAAACAGGCTGCTTGAGCTAATATGTCCATTTGGCTTTTTCGAGAAACAGATAAAATGAGAAATTTGAAATGTTGTATATCAATAGCACATAATCTAGTATGAAAATATGCATGTTACACTGTTCTCATTGAAATATACTAATAATGGAGATGAATATAAAATATCTTGCCATGACTACGGTTCGAGATCTCCACTCACAGAATTGTAAAAATAAAAGATGTAGGAGATCTCAACACACACGTATAGTTGATAAACGTGGATTATCTCTCAGGTTTTTTCTACATAAGAGGCAATTTGACATTAGTATTTAATTATGACTTCAAAACCAACTTTTTGCAGATTATATTATTTAGTTTGCTTTTCGAATTCTACACTTTTGTTAGAATATAGTATGAGAATTCATCACCTTCAATATTCTTTTCAATAGTAGAAATGTTTACGAAACGAAGGTTTTGGTTGATATCCTTCCTGTAAGAAAAGATTCTTCACGTGCTTCCTACTTTGACTTCTCTCAACCATTCACACCATTTGTAATTATTGAACTTTGTTAAAAAGAAGATCCGTCCTTAGTTCTAAATATTACGACGACGTTTGAGCTACTACGAACAGAACTTTCTTGTTTTTATAAAATTAAGTTCGCTTTTCTATGTTGTGAAAGCGAGGTGAGAGAACATACAATACGATTACGCAGAGTCAACTTTGTGAAATCTAATTCATGCTTTTCGATCGCAGTCTAAAACGTGATTTTGCAGATCTTTCGGGAAAGGAAAAGAGCTGAACAAATTACAAATCTAGACAAAATTTCAAAATGATATCATATCATACTCCTGTTTGAGATGATCAATATTTTCATTCTATCAAGAGATATATTAACAATACATTATATAGAAAGTTATCTTATCATAAAAATAATATACTCAAAAAAACACTTTTTAGCTGAGCTATATGATGCATCACACATTACACAGTTAAAAACAATTTATTGACAAAACCTTTTTGCAAAGATAGTTTTTGAAGTTTATACAAGTCTAAAGTTAATTTGACAAATATTGTGCATGAGAAATGAAAAACTGTTTTTTTTAGAATATCTCTTTATAGCGTTGAGTAAACATCAATACAAAATAGAATATATATTTGCCAAAACCAAAAAACTTGTTGCATAAAGTGAATGAAATATTTCATAAAAAAATATAGTATCTTAAAAGTATGCAAAACCCACTTAAGGGATTCGCTCTCAGTAATGATGATTCTCGATCAAAAAAATCGATTTTGAGCTAAGCATATGAAAAGCTAGCCTGAAGTGTCTACTTTCAGAATATATATCTATTTTGGTTACAGAAGTGTTTTTTTCGCAGCTTTCGAGCAAGTTTTCTAGGAGCCTCGAAAAACAGGATCTTCAAATAATAGTTTTTTCCTGGATACTTAGTTCAACTAAATTCTTTCTAAACCCGTTGATCTGTAGAGCAAACGTTTCTGATCAAAACAAGACTTCGCACAACTCTGCATGTCTTTGCACCAAAAAGTTACAAGCATTTTCCTACAAGTTCTAAAACTTTGCGTTTTGTACAGCGTTTTCTCTACATGGGAGTTTTACACTTGAAGTATTTCCCAAGGCTTTTTAATATACTTCAAGCTAGAGACTTTGGGTTTGTTTTATTTTAAAGTAGACCTTTAACTACATGGGCTGACCGGTCCTGATTTTTCAATTAGGTCTTAAAACTGAGGATTTCTAGAAAACCAGAAAGCGTTTTTTGAGTTCTTGAGGTTGCTGGCTGTCTACAAAACGAACAAAGGCTTAATTGAAAAATCGGCGCCGGTCAGCCCATGTAGTCAGGTGCCTAGTTTAAAATAAAACAAACCCAAACTCTCTGACATGAAGTATATTGCAAAATATTAGAAAATACTTTAGGGTCCTTTTTGCACCTAGATCTCTGGAAAACTCCTAAACGGCAGGACCTTGAGACAAAAAAAAAATTTTCTTTCCCGTAATTCATTGTGTCTGACGTTCATGGAAAGTTTCGTCAAGATCTGATGTATGATGCCAGAGATAATTTCTGAGGGGGGTGGTGCTTAAATTTCTGTTAAATTAATAACGGTTTAACAGCTTTATATTTTGTAAATATTGCCGGTGATGACTGATAAGCGTCTATTGTATGACATAATAATTATTTATTTCAGTCATAAGTTTTAATTATTCAATTATTTTGTTACTTACTGTGCTTCATTATCAATGAATATATCTGCAACAACTAACGAAACATTACTTAGGCTTTGCTTTATATTTGTCTATATTCTTTTCGTATGTAAGTGATGCATAAATTTAATGATCATCAGTCATACAAATATGTGTATGTATCATTCTTTAACAGTGGTGAATTGTTTGTTAAACAAATATGCTTAAAATAACTTACAAACATATTTTTTATTGTCTATAATTTTTGTTCATCTTTAGTAATTAACAAAAATCCGGAAGAATGACCAAAATTATTTATTTATTACGTTTTGAAAAAACTTTTTTTTTCTTTTTTGTTAATATCGCGTACTGATATAATATATATGCTTTTAATTTCATTTTTGTTTTTCATAAAAAGAAAACAGTAACATTGTTTGTATATGTACGTTATAATATAAAAATTCAAAAAAAAAATCACATATTGTATGATTAGTGGAAAATTTGAATATTGTTCATTGCAAATACTACAACTAGTCAATCTAAATCCGACACAGCGGAAGATTGTTTTTGTCTAAATTTTATGCACATATCTCTTGTTCACTTTGATTTGTATTAATTTCTATGAGAAATATCTGAAAAACTTAAATCAAGACACTATAATTTGAATGGATAACATTGTTTAATAAAAGAGAGGAAATGTTTGTTTTCAGAGAAAAGTGAGACAACTCAGTCAATCTAAGTTTTAGAAAAAGTATCCTGATTTTAACTACGTGCACACAAAAATTTCCCACTGCAATAAAAAAAGTGCTTTGCTTAGGGTATGAAGAGGATTACTCAACGCACTCTACAAACTAGGATAATTTGAGGACAGATTTGTGGATGGTCTACCTCCCTTAAGAAGGTGAGATTCTGTTGTTGCAGTCTAGTGAGTCTGTGATTTGACGAAAGTTATCTCAACTTAAAACATTAGTATTAACCGTGAATAAAGGCAAAGAGAAATAACTCTATGGTAATTATTTCTATTTCTGATGATGGCAACAGAATGTCCACAGGAGAAGATCCCCCCCCTCAGAAATTATCTCTGGCATCATACATCAGATCTTGACGAAACTTTCCATGAACGTCAGACACAATGAATTACGGGAAAGAAAATTTTTTT